CATAGCCGTGCTGCATTACTAGAATTATAATTTGTGATAACCAAAGTTATCTTTTGTGGCAGTTCTAATATTTAATTTATGAACGAGAGAAAGTATGAATGACAGGCTACTTAGGACAAACTAGATAATTATAATTTGAAGTTCCTTATTTCTCACATGAATAATGCCAATCAGTATTCGGGGAATCAGATAAAATTACTTTATTAATGACAGGGGAAGACAGCGATTGATTCTACCGAAAATACTCCGTATTAAGAATTGTCTTAAAATTTTGTCCCAACATTTTCTCTTCCTTTATATCTATACCTATTATAAAAATCTGCAGGGTTGCTTAAACTAATGCTGAGCTGAGCTGAGCTTTGTAATAAAAATTGTGCCATAGTAAAACCTCGTTGCTTTTGTTTCTGCCCGATAAGAGACGAGCATTATAAATAATGCCCACGCAATTTGATAATAGTTTTAATCACACTATCCTCTTATGTTGGGAGTTGTTTTTTGTTTTATAATTTTAATTATACTGGTTTAACTCGTTTAATTCCAATATATTTGGGTCATGTTACGACGAGAAGATAGTAGACATTGAATAGATCAATTAACTCATCACTTCTACTCCACGAGCATTCTTCTCTATGTACATAGAGACATTTTTTTTTTAAGTATTAACACATATACACATAAATTATTGTATAGTAATTTAGAATTACATTTTTTTACATTTGTCATACTTAATGAATATTACTTATATTGATTTACTCAAGTTGCTTGCGTTGAAGTCTTTGCATCAAACGACACTACCCCTTTGAGTAACAATACAAGCAAATGACCATTGCTATACTAATTGTCTATACTTTACTATAACCAGCTAAATAAAATAGTTTAGTTTAGTACCTTATTGTAGTAGCCTTCCTATCATGCTGTCTACCGCACAATGTATGTGATTCAAAAATACCTACTAAGGTACAATACATGATTAGTATATCTCCTTTTTTGATGCTCAAACGCATTTGCAATAAATCTGTCAAAGAAGCTAAATAAGATACAACATGGTTTTCCAATGACTCGTAATGAGATGGCAGTCAGACTAGCCCCGATTTAGGGAACAAGACTGGTTGAGTTGAGTGGACTGTGTTCCGTTAACATCCGATTGGTTAACATAAAGTTGAAGATAACCAGTTCGAATTCGTTTCCAAATGTCAATTTGATATACTACGTTCTTGTAATGGTGCAGCGTTATATTGATTATGTTTATTTCTAGTTTGCCGACTACTATTATGTAGGGCATTTGTAAAATATAAAATTTGGAACATAACGCTTGGGCCGGCCGCGACTTCACGCGATAATATAGAATATTTCATACGGATCCCTAACATTTTTGAAAATAAAGAGGCCATACTCTATATACGACCCCCGACTAGATGGAAGGACGACATCGTCCGAGTCGTGGGTGGCCGCTGGATGCTGCTGGCGCAATGTCGTCCGTCGTGGCGTTCAAAGGGGGAGGCCTATGTTCAGCAGTGGACGTCTTCCGGCTGATGATGATGATGATACTCTATATGCGGCATATACCAAAATTAAGTAGTTATTGAGTTTATCCATAAAAAAAAAATTTCCTCGATATAATATTACCATGATACCGGATTATTATCTACTAGATTTCGCCAGCGGCTTCGCCCACGGGGACCCTAGGGAAATGTTTAGTGGGATAAAAAGTATCATATTATCTAAGTCAGCTAATACCCTATCTGTATACCAAATTTCATCAAAATCCGTTCAGTAGTTTCGGCGTGATTGACCGACAAACATCTAAACATGCAAGGAAATAGGATGTCCGTGCTATTTTCTAGCCTCACAAATGACAGGTAACCCGTTTGCATCTGGCACTAGTGGCGCTAGTGTGTAGTGTGCAGTCTTCTATCATCTTTGTCTGTGAACTACGCGCCTTTCTTTTCAAATAAACGACTCTTATTTTGGGATATCTGAGATTCATTAAAGTAATTATCAATCATTATCATTACGCTTTTTATATCATTTTCATTTTACATGTACATATTCATTTATACACTTGACATTGGCAGAATTGTGCGAAATGCGCAGATAAGCCATTATTAAAGAAAAAGACTTAAGTATCAATAGTTAGTGCTTTAAACAGGGGTAAGAAAATGGGGTGTAAAATTTAAGAGTATAACAGCTAAATCTTATTTTAAATTAGACTATTATATTTGTCAACCAAATACCAAGATATTCTGCTTGGAAGATCATCATCAACCCTTTTACATCCCCACTGCTGGTGCTCAGGCCTACCTTATGGATGGTTAAGGGGGACGGGCCATGACCCTCCACGCCGGCTCAATGGGGAATGGAGGGTATTAACGACTGCAAATGTATCCGGGACCAACGGCTTAACGTGCCTTTCGAAGTACGTAGCTTGAGATTATTAGTCTCCACAATAGTTATTGGTCACCCATCCCGTGACCGACCCTTGCGATAGTTGTTTGACAACGATCGTGGGCCGCGGCGCTTATCCACTTCGCTATTGGGCTACTCCGAGAACACCAAGCGGCCCTACTCATGGTCCGTATTTATTAAAGGGACAAATAAGACTAAAAATATCGATACCGTTTACTGGGGACGCAGTGATACAGTTAGGCGAAAGTTGAGCTTGCAGGTTGTTTTGACCGCTTCACCGTAATCCGTGCCAGGCTTCCTACATGTATATTGTATGCGACACGTCGGACAACTGTATATTAATATAGCATGATTTGACAGTATTTACTTTTAACTGCACTGAGGCTAGATAACGGGCTAGGCTTTGTTGGGATTACTAAAAACTTTGCCTTTGTCGAACCGAGTGAACAATTTACGAGCGTAGAGTGAAACGTAATATTATTGCGTTTCATATAATGCGCATTCTTAGTTATATATTACCTATTATAATTTCATAGAGAGATAACAGATTAGTCGGCCAGCCAGTGGGAAGCTTTAGATTGAATTTGAATCATGTTTTTAATGAAAATTATACGTTCAATTCAAAGCAAGTATGAACATGTGTAAGTTTTAAAAAGAAGCGAATAATAATATTGGACCTCAAATTGATAACAAACGTATGTACATGTGAGACACCCAATTGCACATAAATATGCATGTTTTGATACATTTCATCATTTCGTTGGGTTCGCCTTTTGTTTTTGTAATATTACATTAAAACTAAAAGCGTCAGTGAAAATGAGAAGATATTGGATTACATTTTATTTTATTTTTGCATCTAAAATATGTAAGCGTATAAAATATGTGTTATAGTATAAACTGTGAATACATATTATTTGTGTATGTACTGAAGTAATACTTTGTAAATGAGAATAGTCATAGATTGTGCAATACATTGTTTGTGTCCCTTAATAAATAAATGAAATTTCAGGTTCACCACATATTCTGATTTGTGTTGAACGATTGTAATAGATATTAAGTAGTTATAATTCATATGAATAAAATAAAAGTAAATAATATCGCAGATAAGTAGGTCACACAGCCAACGCGGTCACGCTGGCCCAGTGCGGATTGGTGGGTATTAAAGACTGCAGATGCAGCCGAGACCGAGAGCTTAACGTGCCTTCCGAAGCACGGAGGATTTCGAGATAATAAATTTTTGTTCACCCATCCTATGCCCGATCATTGCGAAAGTTCCTCCAGTTCCGGTCCGATCCGGGTTAATATTGAAACTCAACTTTTTTACATTGTTTCGATGGTTTTAGCTTTTCCATAACATATGATGTTTACATTTAATAAATACTTAAAAAGCCTCAAAAGGCCTACCTAACAAAATCTGTCTAAAAATTATATTTGAAACTTTATTCTGAGTAATATGATAACGTCTCTTTTTCTCTCGAGCTATTATTACATTCTAAAGTGACTTTAAAACTCAGCTTTGATATTTTGTAACAAAATCATTGGCGAACACACCGCGGTCGTATGCTTTCAATAAGTTCAATAAATAAAACCTCTATTGCCTTTTCATAACGATTTTATTTGTTTGAACCTCCATATTGTAACTATTGTTCTCACGTTGCCCTCGACGTTGATTTTTTTACAGAATAACAAAGCTGTTTATATATCTACATATCAAAAGTGATAGTTACGTTACACTATTTATTATTTTAAATATGAAATTGATAAAGCTCAATCGCTATTATTATGAACTATCTAAATACGTAATAGCACAATTTACTGAATTTATATTATATTATTTCGATGTTTTAACTATTAAACCAATAGCATCGTGGAATTGGTTTTGGTAGATAAGAATATTTTATTTAATGGAGGAATATTCATCTTAATTCATTTTAAAGACACAACAAAACTCGTTAAAAAAAAATAGTCCTCTGAGTCATTCCATTTTTTAAATCGAACCTTCTTCGAGCTTTAAAAAGTGGTAATACTTATTTTAAAAGCAGCTCAAATATTTACGAAACTGCTAATGAAATGGGGCAGAGGTGATCTGTATATTATATGATAAACGCCCGACGTCAAAAGCAGTTTTTGAATGATTCATTTAATTAAGAATTTTGGAAATCGGTAAGAAATTTTCAGAAATATCGGTGAACATACATAAACAAAACATACATCACCGTCGAACATATAACCTTCTCCTTTTCGACTTTGTAGTCGGTTATTTTTCGTGAATGCAATCCCTTCTGAAATTCTTTTTAATAGAGGGAAATTTGCAGATTTTCTATAGAGCTAGCAGATCGACTCACGCAAATCTGTTTGCTGGTTCACTTGGCTCATTTCAATCAAAAAAGGTTATTAATTTTCTCAATAAATTGAATTAAAAATTTCAATATCCTTCAAAAGAGATATTATTATAATACTTTCCTCGAAATATTAAACTCGCAAGTTGAAAAGACGCAAGTTTCACACAAATCTCCTTTATTCTCTAGCTTCGTAATAATTTTCTAGTGTACCCGTATTTAATAGAAACCACAGCTGTATTAATTCCAGTTTAGCCGGCATGGGGAGTGCGGTTAGATGTTACGGCGACGACTATACCGCTATCTCCGCGAATAAATAAAAGATGAAGTGGCGAGCGGCTCCATAACGGCTCAGTCCGCCTCCAGACGCGTCCCACGATGGTCAACTACAAGCGTGTGGTGTGCGAAGTGGCGCTGCTGATGGCACTGGCTACTGCAGCTGTCGCAGCGCCTGTGGACTGCGCGGACCGCCACTTCGATCAGCGGCAAAACGGCTCAGAGAACTATAGACTCAACATCGACGGCGTTGTCATAGCCGTCGCCCCGGCTGACTCATTGCTCGCTGCCGCTTCGGACATTGATCTAAGTGACTTATTAGACTTAGAGGAGTTCAATGAACCTTCGAAACCGAAACCTCCTAGTAGCGAGACTTTGAAGCCCCAAATTGAACCGAAACCTGAAGACGGTAAGCCTCAAGAATCGAAGCCGGAAGCTGTTAAGCCTGATGAAGCGCCGCTCAGTGATGTCAGTCTCAGCTCTGATATTAAGGGACAGAAAAAAGAGATTTCTACGAAGAAACAAGAGAAGGCGCATAGGTTTGTTACTTTTATTAGATTATCATCAGCCTTTTAGTGTACCCATTGCTGGGTTTCAGGCCTTCCCTGTGGATAGATGGAAAGGGAAAACGGCTGAACTTGCCTTCCGAAGCACAGAGAAGCTCGTGAAAAAAAACATTTTTGTTCACTCATCCGCCCAGCCTAAACAACCGTATCGCAGACGGAGCGCGCCAACCACGCCTTCGAGCTTCTCACAGCCAGTTGCACAAACGTCCATTAAACTTTTCATTAGTTTAAAGCGACATTACTCATACAAATTTGACATCCATTAGAGCTAAATGGCGTCATTAAACCTTAATGGCCTTAATGGAATGAATGGAATGTTTGTGCAACTGACCGTCAATCTATTAAATATTAAGTAATTAATCTAAAACGTTTGATGTATTTAAATATTGTATTTTTTAACAAAATTTTATAACGATAAATATTTAAATTAAATTATTTAAATTTTGATTCTTTGTTTACAGATTAAAAAATCGTCTCGCCAACATCTTGCTTCCATTGCTAAGAAGAAATCGCCATCAATAGACAAGGAAAGCTGAAATAATACTCAGATTCTTAACGAGTTTCCAATGCCCTTTAAATAAAATAATATAAGAGAAGAAGACTTCGACGTATGTCTAATAATATCAGTAATCATACGTAAAATTTTATTTAAAAATATATTATAGATATAATGGAGAAATGTGTTTGTTTGAGCACGAGTGATAAATGCATTTATATTTATTATAGTGTTTAAGTGTATGTGTAATATTGTAAATTGTTTTGTTGAAAATAAAATTGCCTAATTTTTATTGAAAAATCCCTAAATTGTGTAGTTTCATTTTGTGTAAATATTTCTTTTGAAAAACGGCTGTGCATCGTATATCTGTATCTTATACTAAAAGTAGTTCATTATTATTTATGACACTATTTCAAAGACGCTATAAAGACCGAAAAAGTACCTAATCAAGAAACTTTAATTACTAAAATTTCTTACTTTTAACCTTTTTAAAAATAGTTTTTATTAAGATAAATAGTAAGTAGTAATTCATCTCTAAAAATTGATGTTAACTAAAGATAAGTTATCGTTTACTTTTGTTTTCATACAAAAATAAACTATGAGCTTTCTTATAGAATTTCTACCAGACAAAAAATTCAGGTTTTTTAAATTCAGCATTTTCACACGACTTTATTATGCCCGTTTAAATAAACTTAGGAGTCACCCAAATCTGTCGCCTAAGGTAAAAATTCACTGTTGACTAGGAACCTCCTAACGAAATTAAGCAATGTCTAAAGTTATGATATTCGTTATGCGGCGTCTTGCGCTAGGCGTTTGCGTATATGACAGGTCATAAATATGTCAGAAGAAAAAACAAATTTGGTATTAAACTATTATTATGGTATTAATCTACTTAGGCAATCAGTAAGGTTAAGCGTTTCCTTGTTACGCCATGCCATGTTGTATGTTAGTGAAAACGGAAGTAAGCGGCTCACCTAAAACGAGGTAGGTATAAAAGCTAGAATTTTGTCATACTTACTCGAAGCGCCCGTATTTCCCTTAGCGGAACTGTATAATTTCAATCAATAAATACGAATATCAAGAATAGATATGGTTTGATTGTTAGTTTACTTTGAGTAGAATATTAAATGCAAACAAACAAAGAAGAGTCCGAAACCACTGGACGGATTCTCAAAAATCTTATCTTTTACCTATTTTTCGACCAACAGAAAGCTACATCTCACGCGGGTGATATGGGCAACTAGTAACAGCTTATTTTATTTATAATTAATTATTTATTGAATGTCCATATTATTACGGATTTGGAATAAGGCGTGCATGAACTTTAGAAATATTTTACCTACTTATAGTTTAGACAATCAAGTTTATAACTCGAAAATTGAGTTTTTGAATTAGCTCCCTTAACTACTTAAGTGAATATTATTAGTACAATTTTATTAATATCATATATTTAAGACTTATAGCTTTTTCATGACATTATGATGCTTGGTGTAGGTTCCGAATAGTTAAAAGCATTATTGCCCGGAACAACCAAATACCTACCTAATCAGCCCTTTGAGATCCATTGGGCGTATTTATACTATTTACCTTGGTGATATTGTTTATGTGTGTCTGTGCTCTGCGATACTGTAAAAATCATAACCCGAATTTCCTTCAAAAAGCGGCATCCGCTCCACATTGAATTGGTAATAACATTTCGTGGCATAAGTTAAGTGAGTTTCGAAATATCATATGAATAGAATATCTGAGACACTCAATTTTGTTTTGTATTTTTATACAAAAATGGAATCAATACAATTTCTATACTACATTACGTGAATTCGAATTCGGGTTTAGATTTACAGAATCGCAAGGCAGGCCCACATGCACGTGTATATTTATTTACAAGGTCCTTTTACTTTTTTATTTCATTATCATCAACTCACATTTGAACCCCTAAATTTTACTTACAACCAGAAGTTAAAATCTTATTTTTTTATCGATGGAACCTAAACCTTATAGACTCTGAGCGCAGTGCATTATCTGTTACCCAATGCACATAAGACATCTTATAAAAAATCGACCAAGTGCAAGAAGACCCGCGCACGAGGAGTTCTGTAATTTTTTGCACGAGAGTTCCTAAATATTTAATTTTATTCTGTTTTTTAATATTTTTTGTCAGAAATACATCATCTATGAAAATTTCAACTATTTAACTATCACGGTTCATAAGATAGAGACTAGTGACAGACGGACAAGTGAATAGACATCTGTTGTCTTAGCGTCTTAGTAATAGGGTCCCCTTTGGATACGGAACCCTAAAAACTACTGGCAATACAACAATATCAATAAACGTGTTCAACTATAACAAACTATCCGAAACCTGTTAACCTACTGAATATTTTTTAATGTCGTCGCTTCCTTTAACGGTACTTAGCTAACTTTAAAAGCTTAACGTTTGACTAACAAATTTACAAACTCATTTCAATATCAATATGTAAATAAGATTATAGTAGCTATAATTAATTACATTTCCCAGTTCTTGGTATTAAAAAGAGAAACGAGATGAAGTCAACGCGCCTGCCATGGAGATAGAAACAGACGAAGGCGTATAAATTAGGCGTCAAAAGCTTTCAACAGACTTCAAAATCGAAGGAGAATGTAAGGTAAGGTAAAAGGAGAAGGTTATATATGTATGTTTGACGACGATGTAAAAAGATGATTTTATTGAGCGCATGAGACTAGACCAGGATGATGAGATCGTATTACAATTGGTGTTAATCGGAACCTCACTCTTGAGAATTTTGAATTGATGATGGGATGCGTAAAGTCACATTCTGTGTATAAACCAACACTCTAGGTGTTGAGTCGCAATATAATGTGACCCCGTTATTATTGATTTTTGGCTGACGGGATTCCGACCCAGAAAGAAAAAAAGGAGATGATGAATGACGAATAAAAAGCCTAATAGAGAAGGCCATAAGAAAGGAAGAGGAAAGGCAGCGCAATAGAAGTCTAGTGCGGTGTGTGGTTCGTCGCAGAATCTTAACCTAAAAGATAAACAAACTAAGTTATAAAAGGAAATAATATAAGTACTTTTAAAGTAGATAGAAAAACATATGATTTATGTTTGGTTGTAAGTATTAAGTTGAGTTAAGTGTGTTGTCTAAAGTATGTATATGATGTGCTCGAGCCAGGTTTGGGTCATTAGACACGTTGGAAATTCATGCCAACGTGTCTACGTTCACGAGGTCCACGAGGGATTCAGCGGGGGTCTCCCCGCTGAATCCCTCGTGGACCCCTGGGGGTCCACCTGGACTACTTAGGGAATCACTGCACTAGACAGTTGCAAGATCAGCCCTTCGATCCTGTAAAAATCCATACCATTCACTCAGGTGTCCGATTTCATTACAAAAATCGGCATCAGCGGCCTCGAGTTGGTAATAACGTTTTATGGCATAAGTGAAGTGAGTTACGAAATGACATAGGAATAGAATATCTGAGACACGTATATCCAATAAATTATGTTTTATATTTTTACAACTAAATTGGAATTGAAAGAATTTCTACACTAAACGACGTGTATTCGGACACATGAGTGAATTCGAATTCGGGTCTAGATTTTTACAGAATTTCAGGGCAGGTGTCCGTTGCGCTCTTGTGGAAAAACATTAAATATATAGGTACCTTATTCTCTGGTTTTAGATGGTTAATGAGCATTCTGAAGATCACATAGTCCACATAGGCGACGTCGCTGAAAAGTTGTTCGAACTAGTTTAAACAATCCTGAGGTTAATCTTGGTTACCTGCACGAGGAACGCAATGTTTTTTATAGGAACCTGTTCTCGTAAACTATAACTAATTATCAGAATCAGAAAATTTCCTCCCGCTGTCCTACTAACATGTTTTGTTTTTCAGTTTACGTTGAAAGATTAATAGTAAAATTATTAGTAAGGGTTTTAGAACCCTATTCGAATTTACTAAAATTAACAAGGTTTTTTTTAGTTATACAAATAAGTTTTAGTAACATATACCTTTATATTGATAATGTAAACTTGTGTTATGTTTATACTTTTATGTGTACTGTGGCCTACATAAAAGTCCTGACCAATGATTGTCAGTAGGTACTTATTAGTTACCACACCCGTTACACAGAATAAAAACAGTTGGGATTCTTTGGTGTATGTAAATAAGTATAAACAACTCGAAATTCTAATTCGGAAGTAGGCTATCTTAAAAAGTTGTCAAGCGCCATATCCAATAGCAAATTAAATGGCGTCAAAGTTTAAACTGTTTTTTTTTTATGATAATCATAATTTAAAACTATAATGAGCGTTATTAGATCCCGTACGCAGTAAGAGAGGTCGTGTCGATAACCGTTACGATGTGCCCGATTCACGCAGACTGGTTCACGGGTGCACAGTAAAAGCGTCGGCGGCGGGCGCGGCGCCCAGTCTCCATACTGAGAGGCCCGCGCGCGCACGCACCATGTTCCTCATCTACTTAGCGCTCTGCGCCGTCGCTGCCGCTGCTCCCGCTACGTACGATCAACGACAAGACGGCGACTTCAACGTCCGCGCCGACGTACAAAATGTCGTCCTACTCGTCGCGCTCCCCCAGAAAATGGGCATACCATCCAACATCCTCGACGGATTCCTAAAAAGCGCCACACCAGAAACAGACATTCAGGATAGAGCCGACGTGCTAATGGACGCGTTCGTGGAGCCGAGCACGCCGTATAAAGTGGAAATCGGCTCGAGCGGTCGCTTCGCGGATGCGGATGGACGAGCGGTTGAGGTTGTCATCGCCGGACGACGCCGGCAAGGACCCGAGCCGGTAGCGGAAACTGAGGAACTGAAGCTTTTGGGTGCAACGGAACAGTGCGGGCCTGATGGTGAACGGGACCCAGTCACGTTGACCTGCCGCGGCCGATCAGTCCCCGAGACCCAACAGGAAACCGAAGCCGATGTCACCGAAGCCGACCACACTCAACCTGAAGTAGTACCCGTCACCGTATAAATACTGATCTCCATATTTGTGTCTAGTTAATTTATTCGCATGTCTAGTATGCCATTTTAATTTATTATAATGTAAATTATTAATTAAATAAGTTTAAGACTTCATTTACCGTTTTAACTCATTCTAAAGTCCTGTTCTGAAAACAACTACCACTGACGGACAACATTTTTAATAAGAATTTGCTATTTCCGAAGCAATTTCGTTAACACGATTTTGCATCTTTAATTTATATAGCTGTGGTATAAAAATAGTTTAGTACCCACACTCGATTTACCACCCAGACTAATTAAAATCTAGTGAATACAATAAAGACCTAAAAAATTGTGTCTATGTAGACCATTTTAAGCACCCTTAAAAAAATTATGAATCAATCAATCTATATTTTATTTTACACCAAGAAGACAGACATCTCGAATCTTGACAATATACTTAATGTAGTATGTGATGTAGTGCCAAATGACTAGCGCTAACTATTTTGACGGAAGCTTATCTGCTGACGTAATATATAATCGTGCGATTGCTTAAATATCATATCATTTCCAGGCATTAAGCATGTAACCATATAGATGCTTACCCGAGTAATTAAAACTATTCTTTAATTTTCAATTGCTTAAATTCTACTAATAACTAGGTACTAGGTACACCTGGCAAACCCACAACCATTAATGTGTACACATACAATAAAACTATCATATTCGCGAAATTCAAAAAACCCAATCGACCTTTATCAATGAAATTCCACCCATTGTTACTTTAGTCTCATGCAAAATACAAATGTTCCCACACAACAGGTACATGGCCGGCCACACTTACACTTTTGTGAGAAAAATATAAACAGAATAGATCACTAAACTCACAATCGCTTACTTCAAAACTTAGATCTCCAACATTACAAGTATTACTACTTGCTAAAGTAGCCTCATGTATTGTTAATTTATTTTGAAAAATAATGATTATCATCTACTATAGCTTTCCGCCAGCGGCTTCGCCCACGTGGTCTTGTATTATACATAAAAACCATCCTTTTGAATCACCCTATCTTATGAAAAAACTGCATCAAACTCCGTTGCGTAGTTTTTTAAGATTGAGGCATACTTTCCATAGGGATATATGGACAGAGAAAGTAAGAAAGTAAGTATTTTTATTGACAATCACATTACACATTACAATTATAAACAAAAAATAAAAAGTGATACAGAATATAGAAGACGGTAACATACATATTTCAACCTATCATATATATGTGATGGGGTCAATCAGGACACTACCTCAGCTTGTGCTGTTACAGTGAGAATCAACTCACGCAACAGCGCTGGTATTCTGGCAAAGCCTGTAGGTAGTGACATTTGATATAATTTTTCTAGTACATAATAATAGGTGCAAAAAAAAAATAAAAATAATGTAAAAGTGTCAGTTACATTCCTGAACGCGAATAACGAGTTGTCAGTATGTAAAGCGACTTTGTTTTATACTATGTCATCACATCATCACCAGCCCTTTTACGTCCCCACTGCAGGGGCTCAGGCCTTCCTTATGGATGGTTAAGGAGGATGAGCCATGGCCCTCCACGCTGGCCCAATGCGGATTGGAGGGTATTAAAGTCTGCAAATGCAGCCGGGACCAACGGCTTAACGTGCCTTCCGAAGCACGGAGTAGCTCGAGATAATAATTTTTTGGTCACCCATCCCGTGACCGACCCTTGCGAAAGTTGCTTAGCGACTACGATCGCGGATCTATGTAGTTATTATAAATTTCTTGACAAATAAAACACAGTTTATTTCAATGTGTTTATTTCTATAAAAACGCATACGAAACAAAACAATAATTATTGAACAATTACGAAATCTTCGGTTATTCCTTCTCGATCCCCCAGATCCAACTACTGCTATTGTATTACTATTAAGAGATATTTTTTTAATAACTCAATTAATCCCAGAACATTTGAAATGTAATGCTATCATGGCGGAAACACATTTATGTGCCGCGTTGTGTCGATTTTGTGGAATGAAACGGATATATTTCCTACCATACTAAATGTATGAGCTTCTGTTGCACTACGATTACGACACATCACGACGGATAAATGTATTTCTGCCACTATATAAGTAGAAAATTTGTCAAAAAATCTCGACAGTCTCAAATGCCCGAAACGGTATTCAAACCGTTGAACATTCGCAGTTTTAGCAACTGCTCTTAGAGCAGGACGCATAGCAATACTTAGTCGGCCGATAGAAATAAATGTACTATCATTTTAGTATATTGGATTAGCTGATTTTACAGCCAAATGGGTGCACTTCAATTTCCTCCTCCTCCGAACTGATTTATCTACCATAGCGATCAAATTGTCGGCCGACTGAAAGTCACTAATGCGTTTCAGCTCTTAGATACTGTCAAATTTCTCAAACGCATGCCATCTTTCGCTGTTTGTGAGCTAATGTCTATCAATGATCAGGCAATCTGCCTAAATAGCCAAAAGAAATAATATCATTGCAGGACATAGCCTCCACTCAAACTAATTTTTACCTAAAAATATTGTGGACATTTTTTTAATATCAAACAATATCATGAGTCATATGGAAGACAATTTTTGTGCTATAACTTTGCTAAACAACATTAAAATATAATATAATCAAAAATGCTCACGGTATCCTGTGAAAAAAACTGAGTAAACTTAAATAAAATTAATGTATTGCTAATAACAATTAACTTAATAACAAAATCTAACTTTTAAGAGATTTGTTAAAGTAATCAATGCTGGATTAAGCCAGAGCGTGGCCTGTAACACTTTTTTTGTTTGGCCCTTTCTTTGTTCGAGATTAAGTGTACAATGAGGAAGTATTTTAAGAAAAAAAAGAAATCACTAAAAGAGCCCCTCACTAGATGGCGACTCTACCAAAGGTTGATTTTTGCAGGAAACGAATGGACTTATAACCAACATATAAAAAAACTGAAATATGCTAAGTTCGAAATTTAGATATCAATACAAATACGAAAAAGTACAAATAGAATATGAGTTGTTTATTAAATTTTGAAAATTAATTTACTTTTATACATGAAGGAAAACCGAAAAGGTTGTCATGGAGAAATCAAGAAAGTACCGTAGCGACATCTAGTTTGATTTCGGGAACTAATGTGTTTTTTTTAAATACTTCCTAACAAAACAAAATACACTTTACTTTTCTTTCACTTTTCTTACAAATATACTTTTCTTGATCTAACATCTTATTTTAAAAGTAACCGCCTATACAACCATTCAGACGCCTTCGTGTTTTTGAGGTTTATCGACTAAATAATAGTAAGTTATGTTACGGTTTACGGGCATTTTTCCAATCACCTAATATATCTTTCGTGATGACGACGAACAATCAGAATCAGTAACATTGCTAACGAAACATTAAAGTCAATCTTTTCTTTCCGAATAAAACTGTGATTTTAGTTTCATTTGTCAGCTTATATTCACACTTATAAATATGAGCTTGGGCAGAATTTAAGGCTTATTTTATTTCTTGCATTATTTAACACTGACAGAAAAAATAATTTATTGGTCGGACCTGTAGCATTTGCTACTTTTTCTACGTGACTAATCCGGCACTTTCCAGTGCTATAGGTTAGCCCTTCCGGGCTTACCAAAAAAACCTTACAAAATGAACCCAGCGTTTTGATAAAATATTTTAAGCAAATAAAAGTAATAAAAACGATAAGCAAATTAACTTTGCATTGAAATAATACAAAAATTATCTTAATTTGGTAAACTTTGTTTTTTTTCTTCTCTCACAAATTCGGCGAATGAGACTTAAATTTTTTGTAGACATTTTAACCCTTAAAATATGAGACAAGTTTCAAGAAGTTAAATTGTGATATAATGTGAAACCAAATTCTTTATTCTAATGAGCAATCTCCTATTAAAAACTTCAGATTTGGGACAACAATTTACCTCAATTAGTGAAAAAATGTGAAACTATTCAAAGATATACAATCTTTGAATAGTCTCACATTTTTTTTAAATAAATTCCACATATTTGGTCATCAAATAATATGTTATATAACAAAAATTTAATAATATCTACAATTTAACAGTATATTCATTATTCGTTTATATGGATATTCTGTATATATTCTATACAGAATATCACAATATGAATAGATAAACAGTACCCAAATTTCTTTCAATTCAATGTTAAATTTCTCCAGGCGATTTTAAGTCTTTATCTCTTAACAGTTTGGTACATAATCGGTTGCAAAAAATATACTTTTATATTATCTTGGTTATACTCTTATGTGTACACAAAACACATTTAAAATATAGTTAAAATGTAAAAATAAAGACTATAGCTTCTAATACAGAAAAGGCACTGAGGAAGACACTAGTACTAATCAGCATAATTGTGATATCTAATAACTATATAAAATAAGGCACTTATTATTCAAAAAAATATTCATCTAAATAAGAAACTATGAGAATCAAAAATATTATAGCTATCTCCTTACAACCTATATATTGTCTAACAGAATTAATATCAACTTTTCATCACATAACTTTTCTAAAATCATCTTTTGGGCACAGGGTCTCTTTATAATATTAATCTAGGCACAACTAAATATTAAAATGTATATACTTATTGAATATAGCCATCGAACTTGTCTGTTCCCCGAAAGTCAACATATTAACTTCATAATCTTAAACTGAACCCACCAATCCATAACGAAACCATGAGAGAAATGGATATACCCTCAATTTATACTGGCACTTTTATAAACACTAAACATCATAAACCAAGGTTCCGAGATATTATACATCTGAAATCTTTTCAGTGAACTGATCAGCAATAATATCTAATATATGTGAGTAGAAGCCGTCTCCATACCGCAAGCGGTAGAGGGACGTGTCCAAATACCTCTGTACTGAGGCCGCGCATGCCATCGAGGTGTTTCCAACGCACAAATCGCGAGAAGCATTACACAGCGTCACCGCTTGACGCCATATCCTTGAAGTCACTGGGATACAAAACAAATATTTAAATAAAAAATAGTCACACAGTCCTTTGAAGTAGGGACGCAACTGTTTAACGGAAAACCGATATATATCGATATATCGACGTCCAAAAATATCGATATCGGAGTAACAGTAATATCGATATCGAAATCCCAATAATAAATGTATCTTTACGTATCTTTAGATTCATGATAGATTCATACATTAGTAACTTTTTTGGTATAAAATTTGAAGTTGTTTTTCAAAAATTAAATTTAAAATCTAATTGCGATCTATTTAAAGTAGCAATAAGAAATTTTGCCATTGTGATCAGGATCATGCCTTCTGAACGACTTTCTTTAAATGTAACATTCATAGAATTACATGATCGTGGAATGCTTTATCTACACCAAGCGTCACATTAGAGTGAGATATCGTATGGGCGCACCGGACAAATGTGACATGTGGGTGTAAACAAAACACTCTCAACTTCTTCATGCCACGCGTCCAACATCACACGAAGTAGGAACGAGCTTAGTAAGTAGCCAGGTTGTAGCCGCCTATCACCAATTATAAGCCGATTTTCTTAAATACATAGGTTTATGCTTAAACGTATTTTATTTATATAAGCTTTTAACAAACAAGATTTTTGAATTAATTTAAAACCCAAAAAATATATAGATAAATATCGTTATATCGGCTTTGTGAAGTAATATATTGATATTGACTGTAACCGATATATATCGAACTCGATATATGAATATTTTTTGAACTTTGTATCTCTACTTATAAATCAATCTAATGAAAACCATCAATAGACCACAATTTTCGACAAATCAATATCATTCTTTTCTATCCTACTCTACCAAATTAAAAATACATATGTTAGAGCTGCCCTGCGATTCTGTAAAACTTCAAACACGATTTCGAAATCACTCGGGTGTCCGAATTCACTTCAAAAAGCGGCATCCGCTCAAACTTGAATTGGTAATAATGTTTCGTGAAATAAGTGAAGTGAGTTTCGAAATGATATAGGATTAAAATATCTATGACACGTTTAATCAATCAATTTTGTTTAGTATTTTTATACAAAAAATGGAATCAATATGATTTCTATACTAAATGACGAGAATTCGCACACATGAGTGAATTCGAATTCAGGTCTGGATTGTTACAGAATCGCAGGGCAGGACAGAAAATGAAACAGTCCCGCAGTCGAGAGTCGAATTTAAAAAGTACAGCAGCGGTATTCTGTTATAAAACAACCTCGAATTTGACGCTGAGCGCAGCGTGTCATAGCATATATAACTCGACCTCTAGGTTCATTAATATAAAACCTACCTACTTCAAAAGGTAATAAAGTTTTTATTTCATTGATGCTCTGTGACGTGACAGAGCGCTTCGTTCGACAACGATTTACTCTATAAATATACCTTGGATTGTTTCATTGTCTGTCCTGCTTTATCTTACGTATACTAATGTCGTAGTGTGGGATAGACAAGAATGATATTGATAAGTCGAAAATTGGATTTAAGAGTTCATATCCTGAATAAAGGGCTGCAGAATCCTTTGCACACAGAATTTGCGCCAGCGTAAAATACCGTAACGTTAGTACGTTACGTTATTATGCATGCAATGAGATGATCGAGTTACTACTGACTACGTTACGGTATTTTGTACTAAAAGTAAAGTTGAGAGAAATAAATATTAAAAATAAAAATAATCATATTCTGCTTACAAAAATGCTGCATTTCAACATCGCATTGTTGCGCAAGTTGTTGTATGGTGACCGCTCCCTCTAGGACCGGGACATCACTACCCATCACCAAAATGGATTCTGGGTCAACTTCAAGTGAAACCACCTTCTCTACTTCATGCCGCAGAACCTAAACAAAAAATATATACTCATATTAAATTCGTTTAATCTGTTTCTTTCCTTTTCCTTTTAAATGTGATGAGCTTAATAGGGGTGTAGATAACTTTTTTAATTTATTATTTTATATTTGCAATATATCTAATAAATATATTAAAGATAATACTATTCATATTATAAGTTAAAATATAAAAATTCAAAATTTTGTCTTCTTTTTTTTTCTTCATGGCGTCGGTCGTTCTGACGTCACGACGCACTAAAACTAATGTCGTTCATGTATGCTCGAGTTTAACTCTCGAAATTCTGACAAGTATAAATGTTCTTTCATAATGTATATTTGTTCTTTCATAATGAATTTAAGTAATATTATAAATATAATAAATAAATGTATTTATTTTCTTTTACTGTCTACCCCTATTGTAATATATTCAATAAATATTGCACCTGATCATCCAACGTGCCAACCAACTGTCTCTTCAAGTCATCTCGGATAACATGTAGTTTGTATGCAGTCGGAATGTGCTGAAAGGGAAAGAATAATATCTAAATTAATCGTGTGTTTGATATAATAAACTTATTCCAGAGCAAGCAAGTAGCTCGGTGGCGTAATGGATAAGCGCCGCGGCACGCGATCGTTGTCGTTAAGCGACTTTCGCGAGGGTCAGTCACGGGACGGATGACCAAAAAATTATTATCTCGAGCTACTCCGGGCTTTGGAAGGCACGTTAAGCCGTTGGTCCCGGCTGCATTTGCAGTCGTTAATACCCGCCAATCCGCATTGGGCCAGCACGTAGGGCCTATGCTCCTTAACCATCCATAAGGAAGGCCTGAGCCCCTGCAGTAGGGACGAAATAAAGGACTGATGATGATGATGAGAGCAACCAAAAAAAGTAAAATGACTGAAAAATATAAAGTGTGCGTTGAACAAACTTACTTTTGTATCAGCCAACATTAGTATCCTATGAACGTGAGGTTGATCTGTAGTATCAGGAGATAGACGATTCAAACAATTAGGATACATCTCTGCAATCACCACACAACCCTCACCACCGAGCTTTGCTTTTCTGTGTTCTTTTCTTGCCAAATCATCTAGTTTGTCATAAATTGCGTTCACTACCTTGGGTTTCATGCCTGGAAACATTAATCATTTTAGCAATCCCAGTTTTTTGTTAGTCTAACCAAGTAATAACTTGAGAATATGTCATAACTTAAGCTGATATTTTATGTCCCTATGAATGAGGAGCTACTTCAGATTAAAAAAAAAACTCCTTTATTAAGTAGGAAATTAAATAACTTTGTAGGCTAAAATTGAATCTTTATAGTTTGGTTCTATAATTTAACTATTGATCATACCCTACAGCACATAAATACAAAGATTTTATTCTCCATTAAAGTTTAATGATGCCTTTAAGCTCTAATGAATGTCAAATTTGTATGGCTAATGTTGTTTGTGCAACTAGCTGATAGTCACTTTAGGACATCAAATGACCACTCCACAAAAGATTTTGAACTCTACTACATATATATTATCATCATCAGCCCTTTTACTTAACCACTACAGGGGCTCAGACCTTCCTTATGGATGGTAAACCAAGGTGACCAAGGGTTAAACATCCCTTCCGAAGCACAGAGTAACTCAAGATAATAATTTTTGGTCACCCATCCCGTGACCGACCCTTGCGAAAGTTGCTTAACAACAATGGTCACGGGCCGCGGTGATTCAATTAGGTGGTTGGTTTTATTGCTTTGTTTTTTAAATAATTATTGTATTCAGGGCTTCAAAAATTTTATAAAAACTGGTGTGCTGTTTGTTGTGGGTTCGGTTTAATATATATTATGTAATCTGTAGTATCTCTACATCCCACTTTTCACAAAAACTTTATGAAAATTGTAAGTGTAAAAATCACTTACCACTCTTTATTTTTGGTCGCAGAGAGCATGAAATATTACAATTATTAAATAACTTAATACTTATCTGATACTGACATTTTTAAAGACAATCAACAAATATTGGCAGAAAACTATACTGTTTGGGTGCAAGATTTAAAAAGGGGTCATCCATAAATTACGTCACAATTTAGGAGGGGGGTGTGGGGGTCGAATATTTAGTAGAATTTCTATAGATAAATAGGTGATAGGAGGGAGGGAAAAGTTAAAAATCCTGAATTTTATGTGACGTAATTTATGGACGGCCCCAAAGAGCATAGGATAATAGAAATGTTATGGACTTATGTGTCTCCAATGACATGTCATTTGTCATGACAAAAACTTGACGCAGGGCCACTAGCACATTTGATAAGTTATATTTTTACAAATTTTGGTAAATATTGCCATGAACATTTTTGCCAACTTACTTTGAAACACAATTCTTATTTTTTAATACAAATGTAAGTTAATATCTTGAGTAAATGCTACTGCCATAAAGTCATTTATTGCTTAAGTCTGTGTTAAACAGAATTGTATGGATGTTAATTGTAATTTAATATTAGATATAAACAAGGTATTTTGTTACAAAAAAATTATAGCGTTTACTTAAACATAGTAATAATAAACTATATTTCTTTATTTTGATATGAATATTGAATTATGTATTACCAAAGTGCTCTGCAACCGTAGCGCAATCAGCATCTTCACTCCATGCAAGGATAATTTGAAGAGCCTGTAACAATGAACACTGCAGTCGCAAAAAGAATGAGCCAGAACGAATTGGCTGCCTTTTACCACACCCCTCACATAGCCATTGCACTCTAGAATCAAATGAAAGAAAGAAATTATAGCAACGGATTGATATGAATTCATTTATAACATGACAGATTAATTTAATGTAGACCCAACTCAAACAATAACTTAAATTACAGAGTAAATTTCTCACCTATCAATAACCCTTGCTGTTTTGCAGATGAGGTGACATTCTGGACTTCCTGTTAGACATTTAAGAGTCTTTGGTAAAAGACCAAATGCTTGTAGTTTTTCCACAATTTGGCTTTCAAGACTTTTATCACTAATATAACATGTCAAATTCATATAAAGTTTCTTATTCCTGTAGACAACATCATTTACAATATTATTTCCATACATGATGTTTGTGATTTATTTTCTTAGATTTTTCTTACCCAGGACTAATTGGAAAAGGGAAAACATCAGTCAGCAATCCTTTTGAATTATCGTCGTATGTTGTGGAGTCTGCTTCCATCTTTAAGTATGGTCCTTTGATTTATCGAAGTTTACACCTCAGTAATTAATATCAGTAATTCAATTTATTTACTGTTGATAAAAGGAAAACTTTAAATTTATGATATTAAAAAAAGTGGAAAAACCAATCAATGTAAATACTTACTCAAAGATGTAAATAAAACTTCTTCTTCTTCTTTTTTAATTTATGGCCTATTTGCGTTTACACAATTCCGCTAATCTCACGTGTGTGGTCTTTACACGTAAAGAAACAATAATAAAATATGTCAATTTTGAATTTTGGGGAAATAGATAAAACAATAAAAAAAAACTCTGAGCTATCTGATTACATTGTTAAAGATAATACAAATAGAATACTTATATGAAGCGAAGAATCTTTTGACATTTGGACGTAGTTATGCAAACCGGACGCAACCCACAAATCTGTCAAAATTGAGTTATTATGCAGAGATCATAAAAATGAACATTCTATATGAAGATCAAGGTAATTTAAAAACTTTAACCTACAAAAAAATTGCTAAATATACACTAGCCCAAAAGACACCAATTTCGAACTAAAAAGAAAAGAACAATTTCGCAAAACACAGAAAGATACATCGTAACTGGTACATTAATATTTAAGTTATTCATACCTATTTTAAAAGAAAGATCCATGCAGGATGAAACCAATTTTAATATCATCTAAGTTAGTATCACCGATCACCACTATATCTAAAATTTGAATAAAAACATCTATAATCATATTTCGCTTTTAAAAGTTATATATCATTTAGAATCTGAGCATATAATCAAGGAATTTTTATCTCTTTGAGATACAGCATTTCTCTAATGAGGACGTATTAAAAAAACCATTAGTTCCTGAAATCAAACTAAATGTTGCTACGGTATTTTTTGATGTCTCCATGACAATCCTTCCGATTTTCTTTCATGTATAATCAAAAATCAACTTTTGATAGAGTCGCCATTTAATGAGGTGCATTTTTAGTGATTTCTTTTTTTCTTAAAATGCTTCTTCATTAAGATGAAATCACGCATTAAAGTTCACTTTAATAAGAATACGAAATAACAGTTTATCGATACAAGATCAAATATCCAAATTGATTTCAGTGGAGATCACTGATATTAACATTTAAAAATTGAACCATTATTAGTAAATACAAATTAGTGACTTTGGCATATTAAAGTTGTTCCCTTTTTACGGTGATTACGACTGTAGGTTGACAATTGAGTAAATGAATATGCCTGCAGGTTAGCAACCCAGATGGACGACTTCAATCATTCATTCATTCAGCCGATAGATATCAACTTAATTCATTCATTCACTCAAGACTCACTTCAACTTGCTTCAACTTCACTTGCAAATGTTTTGTGGTCATTTTGTTTCGGTCTCGGTCTTTAATTTTTTGATTATTTTTGTTTCGGCACATTAATTAGTGAATTGAACTACATTATAGTGGGTGTGTTCGTCTGGTGTTTCTTTAAAAAATCCCGTGGTTTTCTCGGGAGTACAAAATATTTTATATGAATAAACTTTCTAAAGAAGCCGATCTCCAACATCCAAACGCAGCGGGGGTGGCTATAAGGTTTGTTGATTTTAATTTTATTATGTATTAAAATTGAAAATTACTTGTAACTGTTTCACTGAATTTAAAATAATATTAACTTAACAATGTATTATCGGCCTTTCGAAATATTTTAAAAAGCTAAATAAAGCTTATGTACCTGAGACATTATGACTGAAACCGATACACGGATTTAGCTCTTCTGTCTTTCCATCTTTTTTTAATACCTAACAAATAATGATAAGTAAACAAGCAAACATTCTACTTTTTCTTATTTATTGTATTTTATTTTCAATGTCCTATTTAATGGCTAATATTTGTTATCACTTTAAACTTTTAAATTAAAAAAAGAATCCTGGCAGTAGTTAATATTATTTAATCTAAGCAAAATATCATCTAAAACTTCACACAACAGTTTTTGAATTAATAATTATAAGTTAAAATACATAACTGACTTTCACAATAAAGTAAATGCTCTAACTTTAAACCTTTGATATGTTCAATCCAACCGTCTCAAATCTCATTTCATTGTGAACATCTTTCATACCCCTCTCTCTTAATCTACTAGAAGAACCTACTCAATTTATCACTATGTAAAGAAACTAAAAGAGTATAAATTGAAATAATCCAAATCCACTATGTTTTAACCCTGGTAATATAATACTATAAAGGCATTTTATCATAAAAATTAAAATGAGGTTGAGTGCATCAGTATCAAACTGGTTAAACAACCTTTTTAAAACAAATTTTTACTGTGACTCAATTATGGTAAGTCATTACAAAAAAGCCATCAAACTCCTTATTTACCATAATTATGTAGCTTATTCAGAATTTCTTGAAAGCAATTAAGTTTTTTATATCTAAAAATTTGTCTAGGTTTGGTGGGGGGTTAATAGAGCTCTTCTGATATACAATTTTTAGATTTTTTTATATTCCTTTGACCTTGTCAATAGTAAAGACGAAAGAAGACAAAATAAACGATCTGACGCAATTTAACTCCATAGAAACATTCGTGTCTTACAGTCATCAGTGTGGTTTTATGACAAATGGTCTCAGTGCGTTGTAATATTTTATCATAATACCCCTTTATAATAAGGCGAATTAGCGTGTCTCAGTTATTAACCTTTGGAAACAATAAACATTACATAATTTGATAGAATCTTGAAAATATATCACTTTTCTCTTGCTCGACCTATTTATTTATTAAACGAAACATTACAATATTATTGATAATTATAAGTGTGGTATTTATTGGCATTGCATCTAGTGACTATAAGTTGTCATGAAACTATATTTTGTTAATGACCCCAACTGCCATTGCTATTGTTAGGAAATTTTTGAAGATGATACGCTTTGCCTACGTGAAATACTTCTAGGTATAATATAGCAGGACCATTTATTATGTTCGCAAATAACTTATGTGAGATTTTAGAACGTGGACTGTTACCACAACTCAATACTCGATGCCTATTTTGCATGCTAGATATCATCAATACATATATGGCATCAACCCTCCTTCAAGAATTCGAACAGTGTATATAGTATATATATAGTATTGTATATGGGATACTAGCTATATATAGCTATATTCGCGGGCTACCCAGAAGTGAAGTCCGTTTTTTCGATACAACACTATCTCAAGATAACTCGGGTGCTCATCTCTTCTTCCATCAATCAGGTTCTGCATAAAGGGTTATTAGAAGTAACTTGGTTATAGAGCTATTTGTTAAAAATTTGCCTTATTGGGTATTAGGTTGGGTAACTTGATGAACGTACGTTTTAGCTTCAGGTCTAATTTAGAGACTGCTTCTTTGACTTGCTGAAAGTATGCCCAGTAGTTATAGTTTTGTTAATAACAGCGCTGTTTACCCAAATATCTCATCTGTTGAAATACAGTCAGCACAAAGACTGATAGATACTCTGTTTAAGACTGTTTTGTCCAAAATAATCGACCGCATCTTCACCCCCTCAATCCGCTTTGACCTTTAATCGCTTGTAGGGTTTGTTTATTGTTATTGCATATCTCGGCACAGAACTGACAGTGGCGTTCGCGAATTCAGCCTGATGTCATATTATTGTTTCGAGCCTGAAGGACCAAAACATGAAAAGCCTTTTATTTTTATTATAAATAGATATAATCAATTGTCGTGTAATTATTTTATCGATAACCTTTTTCAATCGTTCATTATCTTTTGTTGATCATTTCAAAAATAAGTTATTGGAGATATAGTACCGTTAAATATTTATAACAATTTATCACAAACAACTCTCCTGCTTTCCTGTCTGTAAACCTGCAGTTCTGCGCTGTCGACCTGGATTTATAGCTTATTGTTAGAACCCATTCTATTTATAGAGCCGTCGTTACTAATAAACATCTACTTCCTCGTAGCTTAGAGGGGAGGACCTACATTAACATTTTAAAACATTATTGTTAAGCTATCGAATCCTATCCGTATTCTATCAAATTTACTGAGACATTAAAGTAAACATCAGCGTCTATGAATATAATTAAGAAAAGTGATTTGTTGTCTATTAAATATTGTTTCTTGGTTAATTTAATAAAGAACTTTAGTTATGATAACTGGAAGGCCATTTAATGAATTAAATATTTGTATTGTAGTTTATAAATTATAAAGCCCCAAAAATACGTATATAACCAATACTATACCAAACCGATTCTATCATATAATTTAAACTGTTTGTTGTAAGAAAGGCTCAATCGGAAAAGTAAATAACAGCAATTATATTTCTTATAATTTGCAATGCATTATTTGATTTAACTTATAAAGAGGGAAGATTTGATTGATTGTTTGTTTGCAACGAATAGGCTCCGAAACTACTGGACCGATTTTAAAAATTCCTTCACCTATGGGTAGCTACATCATATGCGGTGAATATATTTTATACCGAAAAAATAAAGGGATCAAAATGAGAGTGGAAGTTTGTACAAAGAATTAAAACGTTTCCATAGTAACCGTTCTTTACTATTCAATTGGTCATTGTAATTATACCTATATTTGTAAATCGATATCCAAATAAACAGTTCCTAGGAACCAAGCTAGTGTAACACATTTCTTACTGTCTTTGACCGTTTTCTTTAAATTACTCAGTTGAATATGAAAATCTTATATCAGATTTCTATTACAACAAAATTTCGATTCAAGAACCTTAAATGTATTCTATCCTAAATTTCCAAAGAGCTCCATAATTAATCGATACCAACATACATCACATATGAAACAGCAATTGCATCTCGGAAAGATTATTCCTATTTAACCGTGTAAGTATTTTATGGCACTTGAGTGCGCCTGTCTAAGTAGTTGATTAATAGCGTTCTCGGAAGATCGACAGGCTGTCGAATCGCTATAATCGATATAGGAACTGCTCGAGTGGTTGTAAATAGCTTGCGTCTGCCATCGCTCCAGTATAATCGTCTATT